GAATGATGAGATCTTTGGGTTATTTCAAGCTGCTGAGTTCATGGATGAAGAGTTCGCTACTAAGGCTGACTTGCGTGAGATTGCAGAGGGTGAGGACATGAAAGAAGATGAGTTCCTCGCAAAGCTTGCAGATGCTGAAACACCATATATCCAAGTTGTGTAAGCCATAGTAAGTTGTCGGCTATTGTCTCACTGTTTAGACTCAAGACACAGAATGGCTGGTCTGACAAAAGCTTCAACGATCTGCTAGAGACATTGCCAGAGATGTTACCAGAGGATAATGTGCTACATACTTCACTATACGAGGTGAAGAAGTTTCTGAAATCTTTTGACATGGGTTATCAGAAGATACATGCATGTGTCAATGACTGTTGCCTATTCAGAAAGAAGTATAAGAAGTTAGAGAAATGTCCTAAGTGCAAGGCTTCCAGATGGAAAACCAACATACACAACGGTGAGGAGAAGAAAGGTGTCCCACAGAAAGTATTGCGGTATTTTCCAATAATCCCAAGGCTGAAGAGGATGTTTAGGTCTGAGGAAATGGCTAAGGATTTACGGTGGCATTACAGTAACAAGAGCGACGATGGTAAACTACGTCACCCTGTAGACTCAGTCACGTGGGATCAGATGAACGAGAGATATCCTGCCTTTGCAGCTGAAGAAAGAAACGTTCGGCTTGGACTGTCTACGGATGGATTTAATCCATTCAACATGAAGAATACTAAATATAGTTGCTGGCCAGTTTTGTTAGTGAACTATAATTTGCCGCCAGACTTATGTATGAAGAAGGAAAACATCATGCTCACCTTGTTAATTCCTGGACCGAAACAGCCTGGTAACAGTCTTGATGTCTATCTAGAACCTCTAATCGAGGATCTAGACCACCTGTGGAAGAATGGAGAGCTAACATATGATGCATTCAGTAAATCTACGTTCAATCTTAAAGCAATGCTGCTTTGGACGATCAGTGATTTCCCTGCCTATGGGAATCTTGTGGCTGCACAGTAAAGGGTAAAATGGCATGTCCGTTGTGTGGGAAAAACACAGACAGTATGTGGTTAAAGTTCAGCAGGAAGCATGTCTATATGTGCCATAGAAAGGGTCTGCCACCGTCACATAGTTATAGAGGAAAGAAGGCTTGGTTTGACGGAAAAGCAGAACATGGGAGGAAGGGAAGAATCTTAACTGGACAGGAAATTTCCCAAAATCTGAAGAATTTCAAGAATGACTTTGGAAATTTCAAACAATCTGCAACTAAGAGAAAAAAACCAGATAATGCTAGAGGAAGCTTTGACAGTGAGGAGAGTGGTTCGGAGGAAGAAGAAGATGAGGAAGTACAAGTAGACAAGGAGGAATTATCAAGATGGAAGAAGAGGTCTATCTTTCTCAAGCTACCTTACTGGGAGGTACATACTAATCTTAAAATAAAAAATGAATTCTATAAGTATTTTGATTACATTTGATCACTGACTTTGTTTTGTGTAATCGTCTTGTATAGGAAATCCCTGTACGACATAACTTAGATGTCATGCATGTTGAGAGAAATGTGGCAGCAAGTATTGTGTCTACGTTGTTACATTGTGGGAAATCAAAAGATGGCATTCAAGCTAGAAAGGATTTGGAGAATTTCGGTATTAGGAAGGATTTGCATCCTTGCACCCAAGGGAAAATGACTTACCTTCTTGCGGCTCCATGGACGCTATCTAAGACAGAGAAGAAAGTCTTCTTTAGGCGGCTTTTTGACTTCAAAGGCCCTGACGGCTAATGTTCAGACATATCCAGAGGCGTATCATTAGATGATTGTAAGGTAACCGGTCTGAAATCACATGATTATCATGTGTCAATGCAGCAGCTTCTTCCGATTGCACTAAGAGGTATGTTATCGAAAGGTCCTAGAGTAGCAATAGTACGCTTATGCGCTTTCTTCAGTCAATTGTGTCAGCGAGTAATTGACAGGGAGCAGATTCTGATAATGGAAGCTGAGATAGTAGAAACGCTCTGTATGTTTGAACGATTTTTCCCTCCAAGTTTCTTTGATATCATGGTCCACTTAACCGTACATCTAGGAAGGGAAGCTCGACTTGGTGGACCAGTTCACTTTAGATGGATGTACCCATTCGAGAGGTATGTGTCGTACCTTATACGATATTTTCTACTTTAATATCGTTTACACATATCTAGTGTTGCTAAGCTATTAGATGTCCTACTTTTCAGATATATGAAAGTTCTCAAAGATTATGTACGAAATCCGGCTAGACCTGAAGGGTGTATTGCTGAGTCTTATCTTGCTGAGGAATGCATTCAGTTTTGTAGTGAGTTTTTGAAGAAGACAACAAACTTACAAGACAAAGTAGACAGAAATACAGAGTACGAGAACAACTCTATACGAGAGGGTCGCCCAATATCTACAGGCACTACAATTGCTCTTACAGAAACAGAGATGAAAATTGCCCATCTCGCTATCATCCAAAATATGGTTGTCATTGATCCTTATGTCGAGTAAGTTCCACATCTTAGAGACATTGTTGTTTGTCATTACTATCTCCCTTCGCGTGTCTAATGAAATGTTTTGTTTTTTTCTTTTTCAAAACCAAGTGAACACCTTCAGTATCTACAAGACTCAAATGGAAGATGTAAACGTGATGCATCATTTCTATGGAGTATGCACACTGAGAACTTTGCATCTTGGCTTAAAAAACAGGCAAGTAGAATTCCATTTTAACTTGATGTCATCTACTTATCATTCTGTATGTATATGTCTAATTTATGGTTTTCCAGATACCTCTTGATTCAGACGACCATGGGGAAACACTTAAATGGTTGGCTTATGGACCACGTAGCTCTGTGTGATGGTTGTTGTTTGTGTGTGAAAAGAAGTGAAATGGATGAGTGGAATGCAATCAGTGGTAAATGAGGTGGTAAGATGCAAACACAAACACAGTCAACAATTCCTCTTAACCATCATAGTCATTGAAGTATAAGAGGTTATCAATCCAAAATGGGAAACTTGTCACTCTATGAGAATATGAAACAACCAGAAAGTCAAGCAAGCAGTTATAGATTTTAAGTAACACTAACAACCTAAGAAATGAAAATGCAGTGCAATAAAAGTAAACAAAGCAGTAAAAGTAGCTCGACCAAGGACTCGAGTCGAGTGGGACAGAGTACCAGCTCGATCGAGTTTAGGGTCGAGTTAGCAAAAAGCAGTAAAGGTGACGACTTTAACAAGATAAAGAGAGAATTAGGGTTCAAGACAGGGTTTTGCAATCAAAGGAATCTACACTTAATCAATCTAGCTCTTAAAACTCCTTGTATCAAGGCTTCTCTTGATATTGGGCTTCTCAATGCCTAGCCAACCCTTTCCCAAGGTGGAGGCTATCAACCAAGGAATGATCTCAGAAACAGGGGGTTAGCCAGTGAGAATCAAACCTTGGAGGCCATAGGATCATTGCCCAAACTAATCCATCCAACCCCTTAGACCTCTATTGTCTAGAGCAAGAGATATTGGAGCTCTTAGTGGATCTTTTCCAGCGAATGCCATCACTTCCGTGTGGGGACTCGCCTAAGGACTTACAAGCCAGGGGTAGTGGTCATGTAGCCTTAAGATCTATCCAAAAGAGAGAGAATCTAGATTAAGACCATAAGCTAGAAGGATTAAGCATATGAAACCTCTAATCTATCCCATCTCAAACCCTAATGGGTAACTACTCACTACACATGAATGTAAACACAAGCAAATGCAATGAAATAGACATCATAAGAAAGAGGAGATGAAATTAAACAACTTTTATTGAAATAAGCAAGTGCAAATACAAAGCAAATAATCCAGGATCTAAGATTCAAGAAGCAAGAGCTTCAAGAACACAAAGATGGGATTAGGGTTGCTAAAAAGTAAAGACAATAAATTAAAAGAAGCTAAAACAAAGATAATCTAAAGCTTTGGTTTTTTCGTGGCTTAGAGCCTTTAAATACAAGAGGATTAGGTTTAGGGTCAAAGGAAGTCAAGGGGGAAGCAACATTTTTCGGGTTTGACTTTGACTCCCCAGCTCGATCGAGTTGAAGCTTGGCCGGTCGAGTTGAGGAACTCGACCGGTTGGTCGAGTGGACGGTCGAGCTGGTCTTCAAGATGGCTTCTCCCTTCTTCCTTTGCGTGTCCAGTTGAGCTGCTTCCATGCGCCAAGTCCCTCCATGCTCCTTATGTCCCATATGCTCCAGAATGCTCCAAAAGACCTATTTCAAAGGACCAAACATGCATATGTATGCAAATGCAACCTAAAACTAACATGAATGCATAAGAAGAGAAAAGGAACAAGATATGATGCAAATGGAAGCTAAAACTATGCAAAAGATGCATAAAAGATGTGCTAAAACTATGTAAAATGCAAGTACATCAACACCCCCAAACTTGAACTTTGCTTGCCCTCAAGCAAACAAATAGAACAAGAAAGAGATGAGGTTTGAAAATAGCTGATTCAACACTTAAAAACATGTCCTCAAAAGCGATTTGCTAAATGTCCAACTTAGAGATTCTAGAATGCAACAAGGTGAGAGATATTCATTAAGATTTAACCATGCTTATCAACATCAATCCCACTTCACAGTCACTCAAACAATGCATTCAAATCAGCAAATCCCTTTAACATTCATTAAGCAAAAACAGTGAACCAAAAACATGCAAGATCAATCAACTCATTTGGTTTCAAGGGTTTATGGGTTAAGAGACAAAGAGGGTCTCTTTTGTATGGTGGTTTAGTAACAGGGATCTCTCAAGAAAGTGGCTTTGCTTTGGCAGAAGGCTAAGTGTTAGAACCAAAGATGATGCAAGAACAGCAGCTCGAGCCGCCTAATCCTAACTCGATCGAGTTCAACACTTAGAGCTTTTTAGAACAAAATCCTAACTACCCTTTTTGGCATTTCGCCTTTGAAACTGAGGAGCTTTGCTCACTTTTCTTTTAAGAACTTCCTAGGGAGAGGCTTCTTGAGGTAACATCTAGCGGTTTGGGATTTTCTAAACACTTAGGGAACTTTTCTTCCTTTTTGACACTTGAGGCTTTGCCTTCTTTTCATTCTACTTAGAACCCTTTTTACTTTCCTTTTTTAACTTCCCAAACCTTTACTAGACCCTTTTTAACACTGCCAACTCCCTGGACTTAACCAAACTCTTTTACCTTTGGGTTTTTCCCAATTTTTACCACTTTTCTGGTTTTGACACCCAACTCGATCGAGCTCGAGTTGGCACCCCCAAACTTAGCCTGAAAACAATCCCAAGAGAACTAGACAACTAGAACTACTGCCCCTGCCGGTTTAAACACAACACCTTATGCTAAGCAAAGCCAAGAAAGGTTCTCACATTCGCACAAGAGATAATAAGGGGTTTGAAATGAAAAGGCTTAGGTTTAAGGTGTGGTAACTGTCTCAAAGATAGAGATCAGCTATCTGGACAAGCAAAGGGATATGAAAGTGTAAAGAATGTCCAGATATGTATGTGGTAGCCATGAGTTGAAATCAAATGCAAGCATTGGTAATTAAAGATCAAGTTATGGTTCAAATAGATAGGGAAATGCATCAAATCACAGCAATGGTTGAATGAGATGTGCATGCAGCGATATGATCAAGATAAACATGGTTCTTGCTGCTCAATCAATCTCACCCTAATGCACAAAAGAATCTAAAAACAGGGCACTCAAGAAATCGCAAAAGATGGACAAGTTTTCAAAGTCAAATCAACAATGCAAGTGAAAAATGCAATCCTAAACAAGTCTAACAAATATGAATGCAAAAAGATGAAAATATTTTTGGATTTTTTGAAAATTTTATGATTTTTTTGGTTTTTCTATGCAAAAGATAAATGAAAAACTAAGAACAAAGAAAACAAGGTTAAATCATCTCTTGAACCCTCCCCCAAACTTAAATCACACAGTCCCTTGTGTGAGAAAAATTCAGTGAAAGATTCAAGAGGGCAAAACCAAGAAAAAACAAGAACAAAGAAAGAAAATATGAAATGGTATATACAAGGGTGGTGTTTGGATACCTCAGTGCCCCCCAAAGAACTGGGAGGCTAGGTCGTGGTCTGGAGATGGGAGACGGCCATCAGGAGCACTCCACTCAACTGGGTTCGGCTCACTCGATCGAGCTTGTGGCTCCTCTCCTCTTCTTCTTCATCTTCAAAGTGGGTGTGGCTTCCTTGGCCTTGGTGGAGTTGTGCTCGCTCGAAGCGGTTGTAGGGAGTCCAGCGGTCTGAGAGAAGTCCTGGTACTGGGTTGAATCGTACTCGAATCCCAGGGTTCTCAAACAGGGGCTCCTCCAGGTCAACTCGACCCTCAGCTCGATCGAGTTGAGTTTCCTCTGTTTGGACTCGATCGAGTCCGGTGGTCGAGCTGGAGCGTCTGGCCTTGGAACTCTTCCTCCTTCTCTGCGTGTTGTCCTCTCCTTCTCTTGGCTCGAAAGAAGAGGCTCTGTGAGGCTCTTGGGCAGGGAGCCTTCTTTGGGTGGTGAGGAGTGACCTACTCCTAGGGAATGTGGGGGCCTTGGACTTCTTCTTGCTTGAAGAACCAGAAACCTTCTTCTCCAAACTTTTGATCTTGCTCACCATCTTGTCCATGGACTTTTGCATCTTCTCATGGCTTTCCCTTGCCATTTGTTGAACTTTTGGAGAAGTCCAATCCTCTTGTGGGCAGCCACAACAGAGGGGTTCATCCTTGGAGCCTCATACTCCTCAAAGTAGTAGCACTCAGGCTCACCCAAGTCAGCGCTCCCCTGGACCTGATATTCAGCTCGATCCTCAGCTCGACCCTCAGCTCGAGACTCAGCTCGATCGAGCTCAGGCTCCTCTTCTCGCAGATCATCCTCATGCCCAACTAATGTGTACACAGGGGGTCTGAAAATCAATGTTCTCACCCCTTACAACTGTGGTGAGCTCTGGGTTAGGCAGGAGAAACTTGGAGGGTCCAACCAATGGATGTGTGAACTTGAATTGGAACCTCCCATCTAACTCCTTGTGCTCAATGAGGAGGTTGGTCTTGCAGAACTTGATGTCCATCCAACCTGGTTCAGTAGCTCTCCTATCAGTTGGGTTTACTCCAGCAGCACACAAGATAGGTGTGATGAGCCCTCCAATACTAAGCTTTCTTCCTCTTTGGTGCCTAGTGTTGTAAGCTGTGATCTTGTAGGTGAGGAGGTGGTCAAGGAAAGGCATCAAGTTCCCTGTGTCAGACCTATCTCCCCTTATCCTCTTGCCATCGCTTGTGCGTGAGAGAAGGGGCTTGATTCCCATGTCAAGAAACTTGAGTTCCCCCTCGTTGATTGTCCCGGTTGCCTTCCTTGCAAAGAAGGTGTTGGCAAGTGCCTTGTGCACATATCTCAAGACTGGGCTCCTGATCTGAGCTGCCTTGGACCTTGAGGAAGAGTACACTCCATCAGCGATTGTAGCCCAAACCCTTTGGAGTTCCTTTTCCTTGAAGTTCCACTTGGTTCCCTCTCCATAGTTGAACCCAAACAAGATCTCCAGCTGCCTAAAGGTCACCATTCTCTTCTCTCCCTTAGCCAAGAACGTGATCCATCCCAATCCTTGGTCCAAATCAGCTCTATCTTCTTCCTCATACATGTGGTACCTCATTGAAGCTAGGAACTCGCAAGTGAGCTCCTTGTAGGATTCCATGTGGTAGGAGAAGAGCTTGGCCAAGTGCATGTTCTTGAGGACCAACTCCACATCTTCAAAGATTCCAAGGGCCTTCATGGTGTCAACATGTGGGTACTTGGTGTCCATGAAGTCCATGGAGAAAAGAGCATCATAGTGCTCTTGGTACATGGGGAGCTCATCCTCTTCTTCACTTGACTCCTCCTCTTCCATGGGCACATTCTCATTGCCCTCATGCTCACTCTCCTCAATCTCTTGATTGATCTCTTCACCCTCTTCTTCACTTGGGAGTCATCATTCTCCTCATGTGGGATGTTCACCCCAATTTCAAACTCTCCTGCTTCGCTCTCACTGCTGAGAGGATCATTCCTTCTTTTGGTTCTCCTTTCCTCCCTCACCCTCTCAACCTCTTCTATGTCCTCCTTGGTTTGTGTTTTGAGTATCCTCCTTGCTCCTCTTATCATCTCCTCCTTGTGAACGCTAGCTTGCTTCCTTCACCTCTCAACATCTTAGATTGGTCCCTGAAATGCATCAAAAGTTCAAAGAATTAGAGTTGTAATGATCGGTTTGGTCAACTCGACACTCAGCTCGATCGAGTCAAAAAACTCGAGTGACAAACTCGATCGAGTTGGTGAAAGCAGAGTATAACCAAACCTAATTCATGTATTAAGAGCTGGAAAGGATGCTAATCAATCAAATTGAACCAAGAACAACTAGTAAATGGAACAATAAGCAATTCTAGTGAAAAACATAGCAACCTAACCATTACCAAACTCAAATTCAACCTTTCAATCACATGCAACAAGTTTAAAGGCAAAACAGAGGTGAGGTGAAGCAAAACTAACAAGTTACATGGCAGAGCGAAAATGAAAGCAAATTCTCAATAACAAGTCCACAAGGGACACATGCAATCAAAAATCAAGAGAAACAAGCAAAGGAATCGAGATGGAGGAATGAAGGGTTTTAGGGTTCATACCTTGTTGAATGATGGAATTGAAGAGCAGTAAACTAGAACTAAGCAAAACAAGATGAACAAATGAAATCGCAAAAACTTAAGAGAGAGATTGAAATCGATTTTTCTTGTGGTGAAGAGAGAGATGGATGATTTCAGAAATTTAAGATGTGGGAGAGAGGAAGTGGGTTCGATCGAGTTATGGGGAAGAGAGTTGTTTGAGATGTGTGGTTGAGATTAAAAGATGGGATAAAGAGGGAACAAGAAACTAGGGATTCTCTGATCGAATTAGGGTAGTGGGGGACCAAAATCAGCTTGTGGGACCCACTCCCTTGACCAAAAAACGGTTATGAATTTGAAATTCAAAAACTTACCTTGGTCGAGTTGAGTAGCTCGATCGAGTTGCCCTGGTTTCTAGCTCGATCGAGCGTGGGTCGAGCTGGCTCCTTGACACCTAAACTTAACTTATTGAAAGGTTAAAAACATAAAGATAGATAGAAATTGCATAAATAGAGTATGTACAAGGATAAACATGGGACTTCCTCCCAAGTGAGCTTGTTTAAGGTCCCATAGCTTGACCTTTACCTTCTTAGGCATTGGTTGAGCTAGTCCCACCATCAAGGGTGATAGTGAGGACTTGAGACAGAAGCTCCTTTAGCTTGGTTGGGTCCCTGGACTGTTCTGAAGTCACTATGGCCTTGGCTCTAGAGAATGGCCTTGATCTCCCCTTGTACCTTATCTTGTACTCAATCTTCCCATTTTCAAACTTGGTGGGGAACAAAGTCATTGTGAGCTGAGATGGCTTGACTGAAGGGGCCTGAGCTGGTGGATCCTTTCTTTTATCTCCTGGTCTTGCCTTAGAGGCTGCATCCTCCCCTTCTTGTAGAGCCCTTCCTAGTGGCTCATCAAACAAAGCTTGAAGGCTCTCTTCATCAAGCACACAAGGGGCTTGAACAAGTCGCTCAGCTCTTGGCCTATCAGATCGTGGTTTCTCAACTCTAGCCCTCTCAAGACGTGGCTTCTCAATCCTTGGTCCTCTCTCATCCTTATCCTTCCCAACTCTTGGTTCCTTGTCAACCCTTTCCTTCACAACCTTTGTAGCTCCATGACTCTTAGAACTGAGATTGGTACTGTCAATTGTGGCACAAAAGTCTGAACCTCTAGGCTGCAAGCGATATGACACCAAACTATTCACCTTGTGAAGGATCACTTCTTGCTTGTGAAAGTCAATTGAAGCGCCAACTGTACTAAGGAAAGGGGTTCCCAATAAAAGGCAAATCCTTCTCTTCTTCCATTTCCATCACAGTGAGATCAGTTTGGATGATGCATTCTCCAATTTTCAAGTGATAGTTCTTGAACACTCCAAGAGGAGACTTAGTAGTTGCATCTCCAAAGATGATTGAAGTAGTAGGGCGCTGCAAGGCTCCAGCTATGCCTAGCTTCTCTGCCATGGAGAGAGAGATCAGATTGATGCTTGCTCCAGAATCCACTAAGGCATTGTCAATCTCAAGATGCCCAAGTGTGCAAGGGAGAGTGAATTTCCCTTGATCCTTGACCTTTGGTAGGAAGGTGGGTGAAGTAAGCAGGTTGAACTGATGAGTAGACTCTTGTAGGACCTCTGAAACTTTATCACTGTTGGCTAGAACATCCTTGACCATTTGCATTTGATCAAATGCCTCACTCATGCTATCCATAGAGGCAACTCAATTCCAATCCCACTGAGATCTCTTCTGAACTTGTGAATCACTTCCTTGTGACCTTGACTAAGTAGGCGAGACGAGGAAGCGGCAACCGGTTGATAAGGATCAAGCAAAACAGGCTGTCGGACAGAAGAGGTCGGACTCGATCGAGCTAGAGTTGGACTCGATCGAGCTGCCGATCGAGCTTGTCGTGCGAGCTCAACTGGTGAAGTGTGAATGGCCACAGTAGGTGCATGCACTTCTGGTTGATCAATCTGGACTCCAGGAGCCTCAGCAGCAACAATCTCTTCATCATTCAGCAGTAAACAAAAATCTTCAATGACCCTTTCTTGATCCTCTTCTTCAACAAGTCCTTCTTGAGTGAAGATGACCTTGCACTGTTCCTTGGGGTTCTGAATAGCTTTACCAGGTAGTTGTCCTTGCTTTGTAGCAGCAGCAACAGAAGAAGCATGATTCTCCAGAGAGTAAACCCTTGTGTTGAGGTTCTCGATCTTAGAGTTTATTTCAGCTAGCTTCTTGCTTGTGTCCACTACCCCATCAGCTTGCCCTTGAAGTAGTTGCTTTAGCATTGCTTTGAGCTCATTCTCTTGTGAAGGTGCAGGCTGGGGCGGTTGGTGGGGGAAGCCTGGTGGGATATTCATTTGTTGTCCAGGGAAAGTGCCTTGTGGTCCTTGGTAATTGTTCTTTTGACCATACCCTGTTGTGTCCTTGACTCGATCGAGCTGCTTGTTGTTGAGGATAGACTTGGTCCTGAGGGTTAGCAACATCAGTGTTGCGGTATGACATGGCAGGGTTGGACTTGTAGTTATAGTATCCTTTGTTGTAACCTCCTTGCCCATTGCTCATGTAGCATACCTCAGCAAATTGTGTATCCTCCCCTTCTTGGACTGGTTCCATCTCCTCAGCAGACACAAAGTTGACTTTCTTCATTGTGGACTGAGCTAGGATCAGCTTATCCAACTTCTCATTCAATGCCTTAACATCTTTTCTCAACTTTTCGTCTGACTCGATCGAGTGGTGGGTCGAGCTCCGGTTGGTGCGATCATACTCTTCTCCATAGCTTCCATTTGAGTTAGCTATGTTCTCCACAAGTTGCCAGCCATCATCTACATCCTGGTTGAGGAAGTTCCCATTGCTAGCTGTGTCTAGCATCTCCCTATACCTAGGCAAGCATCCTCTATAAAGAGTGGAGAGTAGTGATTCATTGTTGAATCCATGGTGTGGGCACTGACTTGTGTAGCCTTTGAACCTCTCCCAAGCCTCTGCGAATGTCTCATTGTTTCGCTGGATGAAGCTGGATATCTCTCCTCTAAGCTTGGCTGTGCGACCGGTGGAGAAAAATTTAGCAAGAAAGGCCTTCTTGCATTCATCCCAAGTGGTGATTGTGCCATGGGGCAAGCTCTTCTCCCATTGGTGAGCTTTGTCAGCTAGAGACATAGGAAAGAGTCTCAGCTTGATGGCATCTTCAGAGACACCATTGATCTTTGTCAAATCACAAAGCCTATCAAACTCATCAAGGTGGTCAATGGGGTCTTCACTTGGCAATCCATGGAACATCTTGTTCTGGACAAGGTTGATCATTCCCAGCTTGATCTCAAAGTTGTGGTTCTGCACTGGTGGTGGAACAATCCCTTGTCTCTGTTGGTGGCGGTTTGGAGCATCTCCTTGACCAATCGGTCGAGTTTGCCTAGCTCGACCGAGTCCATGTCCCAAAGGGTTTCCATTCCCCTCTGGTACATCCATTGTATCAGCAACAAGCACCTCAGGTTCCTCTTGTACCCTCTGTGACCTCTGAACCCTCTTTCTACCCGTTGTAATGTCTAGCTCGACCAAGTCTTCAGTTGACCGACTCGATCGAGTTCGCATACACCTGCAAAAAGAGACAAAAACCCAGCAGTACAATAGAACAGGGGTGGTATAGCTTGATCGTCCAAGTATGTTTGAAACTCAAATGCAACAAAAATATCCCAAATCGGCAACGGCGCCAAATTGATGGATTTGTGTGTGTGTGAAAAGAATGAAATGAGATGAGTGGAATGCAATCAGTGGTAAATGAAGGTGGTAAGATGCAAACACAAACACAGTCAACAATTCCTCTTAACCATCATAGTCATTGAAGTATAAGAGGTTATCAATCCAAAATGGGAAACTTGTCACTCTATGAGAATATGAAACAACCAGAAAGTCAAGCAAGCAGTTATAGATTTGAAGTAACACTAACAACCTAAGAAATGAAAATGCAGTGCAATAAAAGTAAACAAAGCAGTAAAAGTAGCTCGACCAAGGACTCGAGTCGAGTTGGACAGAGTACCAGCTCGATCGAGTTTAGGGTCGAGTTGAGACAAAAAAGTAAAGGTGACGACTTTAACAAGATAAAGAGAGAATTAGGGTTCAAGACAGGGTTTTGCAATCAAAGGAATCTACACTTAATCAATCTAGCTCTTAAAACTCCTTGTATCAAGGCTTCTCTTGATATTGGGCTTCTCAATGCCTAGCCAACCCTTTCCCAAGGTGGAGGCTATCAACCAAGGAATGATCTCAGAAACAGGGGGTTAGCCAGTGAGAATCAAACCTTGGAGGCTATAGGATCATTGCCCAAACTAATCCATCCAACCCCTTAGACCTCTATTGTCTAGAGCAAGAGATATTGGAGCTCTTAGTGGATCTTTTCCAGCGAATGCCATCACTTCCGTGTGGGGAGTCGCCTAAGGACTTACAAGCCAGGGGTAGTGGTCATGTAGCCTTAAGATCTATCCAAAAGAGAGAGAATCTAGATTAAGACCATAAGCTAGAAGGATTAAGCATATGAAACCTCTAATCTATCCCATCTCAAACCCTAATGGGTAACTACTCACTACACATGAATGTAAACACAAGCAAATGCAATAAAAGAGACATCATAAGAAAGAGGAGATGAAATTAAACAACTTTTATTGAAATAAGCAAGTGCAAATACAAAGAGATTAATCCAGGATCTAAGATTCAAGAAGCAAGAGCTTCAAGAACACAAAGATGGGATTAGGGTTCTAAAAAGTAAAGACAATAAAATTAAAAGAAGCTAAAACAAAGATAATCTAAAGCTTGGTGGTTTTTTCGTGGCTTAGAGCCTTTAAATACAAGAGGATTAGGTTTAGGGTCAAAGGAAGTCAAGGGGGAAGCAACATTTTTCGGGTTTGACTTTGACTCCCCAGCTCGATCGAGTTGAAGCTTGGCCGGTCGAGTTGAGGAACTCGACCGGTTGGTCGAGTGGACGGTCGAGCTGGTCTTCAAGATGGCTTCTCCCTTCTTCCTTTGCGTGTCCAGTTGAGCTGCTTCCATGCGCCAAGTCCCTCCATGCTCCTCATGTCCATATGCTCCAGAATGCTCCAAAAGACCTATTTCAAAGGACCAAACATGCATATGTATGCAAATGCAACCTAAAACTAACATGAATGCATAAGAAGAGAAAAGGAACAAGATATGATGCAAATGGAAGCTAAAACTATGCAAAAGATGCATAAAAGATGTGCTAAAACTATGTAAAATGCAAGTACATCACTCTGCACGGTCGTATACAGGTTATATTGTGAATGGGCAACGATTTCACACAAGATCAGTTGATAGGAAAAGTCAGAATGGTGGGGTTTTCTATGAGGCTACAGCAGTCTGTAGGTCTAGTGCGAAAGACACTTCACAGGTGGTTGATTTGGTATCATACTATGGCAGAGTAACAGACATTATACTGATGGATTATAATGTCTTTTACGTACCTCTATTTCGGTGTCAATGGGCAGTGAAGGGTAATGGAGTTAAGATAGAAGAGGGTTTCACACTAGTTAACATGAATCATAGTCAAGTCTCATTTTCAGAGGATCCATATATATTAGCCTCTCATGCGAAGCAAGTGTTTTACCTCAGAGAAGACGAGTCATCAAATTGGCATGTTGTTATGCGAGGCCCTTCACGGAGATACAGTAAGAAAGAATCTGATGATGGACTTAAATTGGACCATTGCCATCTAGTGTTGTCATGGATGTAGACATGGAAGAAGCAGAAAGTAGTCGGCTGATTGTGAAGGCATATATGTGTTAAACATAGTTTCTTGATCATTTTTTTCTTGATTTTGTGTGCTCTGCGTGATGTTTGGTTGCTCATTTGTTAGATTTTCTTGACTTGTTCTTTTTTTTGACTTGTTCATTTTACTGACATATTTCAGGAGATCTAAGATGTGCACTACAAAAAAAGAAGAGAGGAAGGAGACCAAAAACAGCTAACCCTATGGTGAATGAGGAGGCATGATCTGTGGGAAACATTGAAACACAAACTGAGTGTCAGTTAGAAGACGAAATCCGAGGGGATGTAAGGAATGAAATGTCTGAGGAAGGAGTGAATGAGGAGGAACCTGAAGGTGAGATTGAATTATCCGGAGAGGATGCCAATGTTGCTGAGCCGAAACGAAAGAGACAACGAGGACCAACAAGGATGAGAGACATTGCCAAGGATCCAAATAACAGAGTTCGAGTAGACTTCACCATCATGGGTGAACCTTACGGTTCTGGGTCCGTTAAGCTGTCGTCGTATGTAGGTGCCTTAGTACGAGAACAAGTTCCTATCACAATTGATCATTGGACAAAGATCGGTCAAGATGTGAAGACAGTTCTCTGGAAATCTGTCCAGGTGAGTGTTTCTTTTCATTGACAAGTAATTACTATATCTGTAGTTTATTTGGTAATAAGTAACTCGAATTTCGTGTAGGCACGATTTGAGCTGGACGAAGCTTATCAAAAGACACTGGTACTAAAGCAGATGGGATGCTTGTGGAGATCATCGAAATCTCGCGTCGTGAAGGAGATCATGGAAGCTACCAACAACCAACAAAGGATGAATCTGCGTCCTAAAAATGTTACTCCGGTTGATTGGCGAAAATTTGTTAAAATCAAAACTAGCCAATCATTTAAGGTAAGCATATTGGTTTCTATATTCTGGTGGTACTAATAACTTACTAATGCTCTTCTCTTCTAGGAGTTGAGTGACAGCTACAAGGAACGAAGAAGTAAACAAATTCCTCACACATGTAGTCGCAAAGGAATGGTCAGACTTACTGAAGAGATGGTAAGTACACTGCTTGAAAGTTGTCATTCTTTCAATATACTTAGTCTTTTGATTGATTTGATTCTGGTTTAGAAAAGCGCTAGTTCAGACCCATCTGAAGTGTCAAGACTATAGGTGTGGGTGAAGTCGCGGACCAAAAAGGATGGTACAGCAGTGAATACCAATGCCGCAGAGAAGATTGTGAGTTTGACATTTTACTAATCTCTATTTTTTTGGGTAATGGTTGTTGTGTACATATTGATTTAGGAATTGACTGTCACATACAACTATGTGTTGCAGATAAAGGCAGCGGATATTCTTAATCGTGGTAATCCGTCTACTGCTTCAAATGAGTGTGAAGATGCCCTCAACGAACTGTTAGGACCTGATAATCCGGGTCGATTGAGGACGATGGGCAGAAACATGAGTAAGACTAAGCTAGCTTGTTTCCAAGTGAAGCATAAGTGTATTGTTGAAATGGAAGAGAAGCAAATTCACCTCCTGCAAAAGGTCACCGAGTTACAAGAGGAAATTGCCAAAATGAAGAACCAGGTTAGACACTGCAGTAAGAAAACATTAAGCTTCTAAACTGTTAGCTAAGATGTAATTTTTACTTTTATTTTCTTAACAGAGACAAGAACTTGAAGTTGGCGAAAACTCAGCAGCAAAAGTAAATACATTATATCAGAATCATTATTTTTTCATAGTTTGGAGTCTGAAATTTGTTTTCTACAACAAATTGTGTAGAGTGTGAACAAGAAAACACAACCTAAGTGTATCTTGCTTGATTGGACTGATGATGATACCAATGTTGCTGAGGGTCGTATTATTTCTTCTGATCCGGATGAGGAAGTGAATGATAGTGGGTTAGGCCCTACAGATGTGAAAGTATTGGTTGAAATTGCTACTGTACCAGACGCATACCTCTGGAGACCTGCAAGTACAATGTTTACAGTTCAAGAAGCAGTTAGACAGATGATTGCATGGCCTGCTGCTAAGTGTGTTAACATAGAACAGGGGATCCAACCAGAAGACATTGCAGAACTGGTAAAGTTTATAAATTTCTCGTTTACTGTATTTTTCTTCTTGCTTAAATGGGTGATTATTAATTGTTTAGTATAAGGTAACATACAACAAAAACGTTGTTTCAATGTGTTTGGCAGGGCGCAAAGAATAATTGTCTGAACAAATGCAAGCTTCTGGATTTGTCTTCCGATGATGTAGTCGTCGCTCAAGGACGTTGGCAGACACAAGATTCCAAGTCATTGGTTAATGGACTTCCACTCGGTCCTAAAGCAGTGAAAGTATTTGTTGATGACATACAACAACCGGATACATTTATATGGAGGCCTACGATGGATGTGGCATATCTTGAGGTCTGCTTACAGTCTTATGTAGCGTGGCCTGTCAACAAAGTTGTCTTCGAAAACACTACGACCGCATCAGCTCAAAAATCTACTCAGAATTTTGAATCAAGCGGAAGAAATACCGGATTTACAACAGCAGCAACTGGTCCAAAATCTCGTAGTGATTCATTTCCGGCTACATCTCATGGTGATAAGTCTCCGGCATCATCTCAGGTAATTTAATTGGCTATATCTGTGATGTGAATTTTGATTTTGATTATTTTTATCTACACCTAACATATTTGATATGGGAAACATGTATGAAGAACTATGGAGCAGAAGCTATCAAGGAAAATAAGAAGTGCAAGTTGATGGATATAAGCGGGAAGAAGCGTGTTGTTGCTGAAGGACGTGTGCATTCAACTGACCCAGAACTGAAGGTGCATTTTGTTCGGTTGGGTTCTAAGGCAGCTAGAGTTTGGGTTGATTCGGTGAAGGAAGATGACGCACCAGTTTGGAGGCCGTCAGATGAAATCGAGTATATGAAAGATGCACTTGGTTCATCTATTGCATGGCCAATCGATAAATTGGTCGTCTTCTAAGTATGAGAAACTAAGGTAATTAAATAAATCTTGTCATTGGTGGTGTGAGTATGCATTGGTTTGCCTTGTGCTACTGTAATTGTCAAACTGATGGTCATAATTGGTTTTGTTGCAGGGAATGAAGCTACTTTGGTCCACATTAGATAGTTTTAACTAGTTTAAAACTAGACTAATGTACGTGTGGTTTGTTTTGGTTCTGTGGGATTCAAACTTCTGAGATTTGTGTTTTGCTAAAACTATCTTTATGCTTCAGAGATTCAAACTAGACTTGTGCTTTGTATGTTGGATTGGTATTCAGTACAATGATATGGATGGTTTTATTTCATTATAACAGGTTCTGTTTCTTTCATTATTACAATATAACGGGTTATAATAGCAAAAAAAAGGTTATAATTCGTTCCATAGCGATAATCAGTAGTCATGAATTTGTGTATGATAGCAATTACAAAGCTATAACATACTTCTCTACAACAGCTATACTAGCGTTGCAAATTTGCTATTATAGACGACTCTTTCATAGCACGAGAAGTGAGTTTTTATAAAAAAGATAACAGAAATAGGTAGTGCTATAAAAACCTACACAATAACATTGAAAATCTGCTATGGTATGTTAAACTACGTTAGCGTATTCAAAAACGCTATCTTAGAGGTGGAACCTATTATAGCTGCCGATGACACAGCATTTATGATAATGCTATGGTACACATATAATAGCAGATTTTTCGTGTTAAGAATGTACATATTTCTTGTAGTGTTCTTTCGTCAATTTTTATTATACTGCAAATATACCTTGAGAGGAATAATAGGTTTATAAAAATCAAGTCTCAGCCTCTCAATAGAGAAGGATTTATAAGATAGATAAGTCTCAATAGAGAAGTTGATAATTACATGTCATTGTTTTTTTATGAATTTTTAAATGTAAATGTCTCGATTTTGATTGCGGTTAGGCTGAACGAAGTGAAATAATCAGTGGAGAACTGAAAATGCAAACGATTACATTGCAAACAATTACTAAAATGAAAATCAGATCTCGATTAAGGGGAGAAGAAGGGGAGAGGAGAAATCGTGTAGTTTGGTTTTTTTCTTCATTTCTCAGGTATTGATAAAAAATGAAGAAACAAAGGAGTTAAAAAATTAAGAAAAAAAAGTTAAAAAATTAAGAAAAAAAAGAGTTGTTTGGAAAGGGTGTCATAGGTGACATAAATGTGATATGAACGATGGCAGCTTCTCAGGAATCACTTGACCGCTACGACAAGAATACAACATCAGCTACACATTCCTTTTTACCTGTGTTCTAAAACTCGGGCAAAACGGTCGAGGACTCGGTGGTAATGCGCTCGGCGGCCTCCAACCGCCCAATTTTCCCCTACTTGGTCAACAACTCGGAAATCTTCGAAAAAAATCAAATTTTCATTCGTTTTGATCTTAAATCACCAAATATATGATGGATCTAACATCATTTACTATGAAAAGTAGATTTAATAAGCAAAAAAATGATGAAAACTGTGAAAAAATAAGAGAGGCGGCGAAGTTAGGGTTGCAGAAAGATGAAGAAGATAAGGGTATAATGGTAATTTCTAGTCATTAAACCTAAAACATAGAAAACACCGGGCGTCTCTGGCAACGTGTACCTCACTTATAAACCACCGGGCCACTTAATATTAATGTATTATCCCAACAAAATAATATATATAGTATATATGATTAAAAATAAAACTTCGAGTATGCCTCGACTTATTTCAGACTTTTGCAAAAGTCGCTACTCCCACACTGAGCGCCCCAGTACCGCCCAACGAGTTTTTCAACACAGCTTTTTACCAACAATCAAATCATTGAAGAAACTAACTCAAGCTTCAAGCAGGCAGTCATATTCTTCATCGAATATCATGACATTGACGATGACACAACAACTACGTTAACGGAAAAATTATTAAACTTTATTGAGACAGTGGTATTATCACCGGAAGCGGAACACACAAACCGTCTACAAGTTTTCTTTAAAATTGAAGATCACAACCCAAACTCATTAACAAGATTGGATGTCGACCTGGTAATCACATACCTAGAAGCAACACAAGCCCAAACTACAGAAGAAGAACATGGTGACTGTTCTATATGTCTTCACAAACTAAGAGGTCCGCAAAATATCAACACTTTGAGTTGCAGTCATAAATTCCACCATGACTGTATTGCATATTGGTTATATTACAGAACATCATGTCCTTAATGTAGAAGAGAATTAATATAATCTCTACTACAAATACGTTCTCTACATTGTTCATTAACTTTTGAGATTCCAATGTAATTGTTTGCATTTTCAGTTCTCCACCGATTATTTCACTCCGTTCAGCCAAACCGCAAACAAAATCCAAACATTTACATTTAACAATTCATAAAAAAACAATGACATGTAATTATGAACTTTTCTATTGACACTTCTCTATATTATAAATCCTTCTTTATGGACATGATGAGACCTGATTTTTATAAACCTATTTCTCATGTCAAAATATATCTGCAGTATAATAAAAGTTGGCGAAAGAATAAAGAGAGGTTAACAGACAACTAGAAAAGAATTTTCTTATAAAGATTTGATAAGTGATAATATTGGAATAAAAATATATAAACATTTTTAATACTTCCCAACATATTGGACAAAAATTTCCTTACTAAAATATGATGGTGAGCCACATCGAGACTAGTCATTACATATATCACCAATAAATAAAAATAAAAATTTCCATAACAGTCTACAAAAGGAAAATAATAACCACATTTACAGAATTCACGTCGGACCATAATCCCGCACGGACCATAATCCCGCACGCAGAGCGGGCTCCCACTTAGTATAAGAATCCAAATACAATGTTTTAGATGGAATTAGAAAACAAGAAAATGGAGTTGAAATGTCTATTATATAAATGAAATGTTGTGCAAAAATAAGATGGAATTAGAAAACTATTTTAAAAATTACAAACCAAACCTCAATAAAAAAAGTAAAGTGATCATCTTAAATTCTGTTTTTAAAGAGATCAATTTTATTATTCGACCCAATAAAAAAAAAAAAAAAAAAAAAAAAAAAAAAAAAAATTAAGAGCAAAGGCTTGAGGTGACGGGAGCATATTATATAATTTGGTCTCGTAAAGTATGTATGAGTTTTGACTCAAAACCTCCCAATAATTCAAAAGAAAAGAGGATTTGACCTTCATTAATTGTCACATGGGTAGTTGTTCAAACTTGATCGAACACGTTTTTTCTTGATCGAACACGTTTGTATTTTAAATACTGGAAATAGCTTGAAGATCGGCAAATTCTATCCAAAAAGAAAACAAGAGATGCAGAGCTTTTATGTCATTGGAATCTAAGTAACAGTTTGTCACTATCTATCTTATACAAAAATAACATCCCGTGCTTCTTCCATCTTTCATTCTCTGTGTTTTCATGAACCGGGATTTGGACTTCAATTTCTAGAGAGCACAAGTCCGAGACATATTAAGTTCAATGCACACCTCTCAACCGTTGAAGTAAGTATCTCTGAATAACGTATTTGGTTTTTTTGCTGACTTAGTGTTTTCGATAGATGTAGATATTCTGAAACTTTGAATCTTAACTTGAAATTAAACTTAAACAGCAATAGCATGGTTCTCGTAGTTAAGTTACATATAGATAGCAGAAAAGTTCATGGTTTAAACATCCATTTCTTCAGTTTCGCTATCATCATCGCTATCATCATCAACAGCGGATCTGTAAAAAGAAAACAATATAAAAAATTGTCGATCATGAACCTCTAAAAAAAAGTTCTTTGAAAAGCGTCGGGGTAAATGGTCTTTTTAACAGGATCCGACCCGGTATCCTTCCGGGTTATACTTAAAAATTCGGATAATTGGGATAATTTCCTGTTTGGTCACAAGGATAACTCCAGCATGCACCCTGGAAAGCTTCCATTTTAATAGTATAGATATTTGAAATAACTGAACTGGGTTTGTCCATTGTATCGAGAGAACAAACATCATGAAAATTTTGAAAAGAACAAAAATATATGAAACTAATTATCGTATAATATAAAAAAGTTTTTTAAAACATTTGGTTTGATTTGAATATATAATTTTTTTATGAACATATTTTGATAGTATTATTTTTATTTTATTTTTTTTAATATTATTTTAATTTTTGAATTAAGAAACAAAAAAATAGTTTATAAATATGTTTTTTTTAAAAACCGCTCGCGCCCTGCGGGCCAACCACCTTGTGTTTATATTATTTTACAATTTTAATAAGCTTAACCAAGATGAATGTGTTCAAAGAGATATGAAAGAGGGAAACAAAGAAGAAGATATATAACAATTAAAATCTGATAACATAATGGAAATGTTCTGCAAAATTCCATTACGTTCACATCCGTTGTACTATCTAATTGTGACCGATTTATTTACCAAACCGATCTTCATTCACACAAACACTTTCGTAGTTAGAGTAGAAAGGGAAGCAAATATCTCTGGGTATATAGCTAGGCAAAGAATGTTGGGTCAGACGCAAATATGAAAACTTCTTGTTGTTCATGTTGCAAAGACCAAGCCGACAAAAACCAATCACCGATACGACGTCGCTGCTTGGGAACCATAGAGGTTTTGCGTATTTATCTTCTAGCCCTGGAATTTTCACATCCTTCATATTTACCCAAGGGTTACCAGAACTGTGACACCCGCCTCTTATTTAACCAAGAAGGCATGTCCAAGTATATTAACTTTCACCACAAGAAACCACTTGCTAGTTCAATACTACTTCATTCCCAAGAATCGTATTCAAAATGTCTTACAAAACCATTATTAAACTTAAATATCAAGTCCAAATTTAAATAACAAAGTCTTTAAATAAATAATAATAATAAAATAAAACCCGTGTCTTCCCCAAAACCATCACCAAGCCAAGACACTACTCTTGTATGCCTCTGCGCTCACCTGAGATAAAAAAAGAGGGTTGAATAATTTGAATTACCCAGT